TGTAGCTACTTGCTGATGGCTGTGGGATGCTTAAATAGAACAACACATAAAAACTCTGTTCCTTAAACAAAGTAACTAGCTTTTAGCATTGTATAAAAATATTAAAGTTTCTATTTATGATTTATGGTCATAACAATTTTAAATTACATAGTTGAAATTTTAAAAAATAATAATAAATAAATATTCAAATTAAGATAAAATAGGTCTTATAAATTTAGTACACAGAATTTTACATTATCGTACAATAATAATTTAAAGAAAATTTTTTTGATTAAAAACAAGACAGATTGAGAGTAAAATCAAATGTGGAAGTAATTTGTCACTGTTAATTTTAGTCTTCATAACAGTATTTATTCAGGGAAAGCAATTCAAAACTTTTCACACAATATCACAAATATAAACATTTTGAATACTGTTACTTTTTTTAAATAGTCACGACAAATTAAGTAGAATTAGCCATAAAATAACATTTTATAGCTAATTTTCATCATTATAACTTGCACTTTAAAATGATTTGAAATAGTATTACTAAAATTATAATTTTCATTACTATTAAGATTTTTTAATTTTCGTATTTTATACAAAACTGAAAAACTCCACTCCAAAAATAAGCATATGCTGTTAGACAAACCTACATTAACAAATTTATTAATTCAGCAATGGTTAAAAAGTTGCCTTGCAATTACTTATAGGCCTTTGTTCCTTGGTTAACAGTGCAGAGACATTAGGTATTTTTTGGAAGCAGGAGATGTGAAAAATGAGCAACGCCTTTGCCGGGAATCGAGCCATGGACCTCTGGAATACGCGCCCAGCCACTACACTGCAAAGGCAGCTAAGAAGGCAGGAGAAATACCTTATAAAGATAACTGGCCTTTTTGAATTGCACTAAAACATTCCATTATACTTAAAAAAAAAAAAAAAAATTAAACCTCACTCTATTAGGTATAAAAAAATAAAATAAAAATAATATTTATATGAAAAATATTGGTGGGAAAACTATTTATTTAGTGACAATTTACAGTATGCATACACTTTCAGTTACACAACAAGTGCTCAAAGTTTCAAACATTCACCATTATGCAGGCTTCACAGTGGCGATGCATGGACTGTCACAAATATTTGCAGCTGCCACAGAGATTCTTACTGTATTGCATTCATTAGGCATCTTGTAGACCATGTCTTTCAGGGTCTTCCACAAGAAAAAATTCAAGTTAGATAAATCAGGTGGCCATTGGATGGGCCCTCCCTGCGCAAGTCATAGCTGTGCCAGTGTATTGTTTAAGTAATCCTGTATGGTACAGACAAAATGAGCAGGAGTCCCATTGTGCTGGTACCACACTGCATACCCAATAGATGCAGGAACACTGTCAAGTAACTGCGGCAGTAGCTTCTCCAGAAAAACGCAATATTTTTTACCATCCAGTAGAGGTGGTAATAAATATGGTCTACTTAAGTAATTAATAATTAGAATAATACCTGACCATACATTCACAAAAAGCTGTCACTGGGTAGCATACTTTGTGGGTTGTCATGGCTCCACACATAAACACTGTTTTGAGTAAAGGTCCCTTGACAAGAGAAAATGGCTTCATTTTGTGAAAAGAATGCAGGGTGAAAACATTGGGTTCTGGTTGCATTTCCCAAGTATCAGCACACGAATTCCACATGTTGAGGATAATCCTCCTGCTGCAGTGACTGGACCTTTTGCAAATTATATGGATGTAAATGTTCCTTGTGTAATGCTGGCATGACACTGGATTAAGATGCTGTAATATCATGGGCAGTGGTTTACCAGGAACTTCTTCCACTTGATGCGATATCTTATCTTCTAAGGCAGGTGCATGTGTCATTTGTAGCTGAACTGTATCACGCTTGCTCTTGCAAAATGCCCCATATTCACAAAGGTTGTGGTGAAAATTTGCAAATATTCTGTGCATGTCTGTTTGGGTACTACTCGGCATACAACCGTGCCGCAGCCCTTCCATTGCAGAAAACTTCACCATATGCAATGTGTATGCCTGCCATTTCTATCTTCATAAATTGTTCCATTCTGTCTGTACACAATCATGTTGCTGTTGTCGTGTCCATATTACATGAAAGAGTTTCCAGAACCTACACCAAAGGGAGGTTGGACTTCTATTTTCCACCCCAATTTTGAGGGAAAACACTTCAGGGGTGTCCGAAACTCTCCCACACATTCCACCAAAACATATGAATGGGCTTTCAGATCACTATATATTTAGAGTGTCCCCATGCCGCATGGATGCTATACATTTACAAACATCGCATCTTCTACGGGATTCAAACCCGAGCCTTTCAGTACTGCAGTAGGCTTCTCTAACCATTATACAATCTGGGTGACTCCGTACACAAGCAGAACTTGAAATGACTAACACTGCATTCCAACTACTACTGTGGAGAACAGTGCCCACAAACGTGCAAAACTCTAGATGATAGGAACAAGACACATAGCCATAAAACTTTTGCAACTTCCTTATTGGAATGGTTATATATTATTTTAAGCTTACGTTCTTTGTCAATTTGTGATCATGATGTATTCATATTTTCCATCCTAACACCTCTGTGGGTGGCTGTCAATAGTTTTCCTGCAGCAGCCTCTAATACAACCCACATCTCATTTGGGCTGCATTACTATGGAATTCCAAGGGTTCTAGGTATACCCCACCCCTTCTAGAAGTTTGTTCTTCTAGTTTTGAATCCCCCTCTGTGCTTAAAGACTGTTTTCTGTTGCTTCCTCTAAAATCCGTGCTTATAAATATAGAGAAAAGGAGTGAGAAAATAAAAAGCTAGACTTTTTAACTGAAAAAGTCTTCATCTGCATCTTATTATAGTTTGAAGTTTTTCTTCCTAAATATGAATTATTTATTTATATTTATATGTAAACATTAACCAAAATTTGTATTACTTCTAAATTTTTCTTTCCATCCAAAACAATTTTGTTATTTTTAAAATGATGTAAATACAGATTCAAGATTTTTGCAAACTCTGTTTTAGCTTTAGTTCTTGAACATTTTTAAAGTCTGATATTCGGCTCCTACTGTCACGAAGTTTAGCCACCCATTTTATAACAATGGTAGTCAAACTGTACAACACTTGAACCTGCATGATAGAATTCAGAAATATTCAAGAGCCACAACTACACTTTTGAAGTATAGCGAAATATTTTTTTAACAATAAAAATCATTAAGTAAATTAACAAAGATTTTTGCATGTTTTAATTACTATTATTTATAGTAAAAAATCTAGCTTATCTTTCTTTCCATTCTAGAAAGAATGTTTCTATGTTTTTAGTACTTGTTTTTCTTCCCCATTTTTCCCTCTCCCAAGTCTTATTATTATTATTATTATTATTATTATTATTTCCAATACTGGCTGAGACCTTGTATTCTAACAGTGTCAGCCCTGGAGGTATAAAATACACAAACCTGGAGTTCCTGTAACCTATGGGGTGGGTTACTAAAACCCCATTAATTAAGGGGCTCATAGAGGAGTTGTTGAAAGGTCTGTGTGGCAGATAGCAAATCTGACAATCAGTCTTTCTCCAGCTTCACAAGCCCTTTGTGGTGTGTTACAGGAAATATTTTTAATTTGCCACAGTGGGATAGGTAAGCCTGGGATGTGCAGTGAATGTGAAAGCCTAATAACTTCTGAGCTTTACAAACCCATGACTTCAACCAGAAATGGAGTGCTTCAATAGATGAGCCATGCAGCGGATCTATCAGAGTCCAGAATACATTATAACATTATTCTCTTTAAACAGAAAATCAAGTATTGAGTTTTCAAGCTGTGGCCTTTGCTTCTAACTATCAACTTATCTAAATAGGAATAGACTGAAAATGAAATTTAAGGGGAAGTGGCTTTCACACTAATTTACAAAGCTCCTCAATCAAAGAAATGTTGAATAACACAGTAATTTGAAGAAAGGTACTTTCTCTGTCCCATAAAAATAGTAGCAAAAGAAAATAAATATAGAATGCAACATTTATTTTTTCCCCTAGACGATATTAAATTAATTTAAAAACTGACCAAATTAAACAATAAATTAATTTTTATTTTGAGTGTTCAGACAGATTCTAGATTTTTCAATATTCCATTACTGCACTTCAGACTTGTAGATAGGATTCCTTGGTTGCAAAGCTTTTTTTTCCTTATATTTGTGAGCTTAAAATTATTGGAGTCATTGTTCTTCATTGCTTCCAGCATTGCCAACCTACTGAAATGATAGAAATGTGACTGTTTTCAAAGTATCCAGTATTTCAGAAAAAAATGCTATCAAAGGCTATGTTCGGTGCATCTACTAAGAGGAAAATGTCTAAGTTTTTCTCCATAACATTTCCATTTATGTACACATTTTTTGTTTTTGTCAAAAAATCACACTAGCATAAGATTCACAAACATTTTTGAAAGCATCTTTCAAAACTCTTGATATGGTCATTCTGTTGCACTTTAACTGTTTTGCAGCTTATGTAATTGCACCTTTCTAAAACTTTTTGTTTTTCTTTTGAGAACTGGATAATCGCAATTCAACCTGCTTGAAAACTCTCTTTTTTTAATCTTACTTTTACGGTGGGTTGACATTCAATTGAAATAAATAACTGATTTTGATCAGCGGATGAAATCAGAGAAACAGTTATAATTCATAATAGTTTAAATTAACCTAAAAATTGAAAGATGTGTCACAAATGACAAATGTCATGAAACACTGATTTTGAAAGCTTTGCAATTTTGTGCTACAACATAACTTACTGCTGCATTTGCCAATAATCTCTGTTTGAATATTCACTTGTTACTAATATTATGGGACACAGAAAGTACAAGAAATTTTTCTTTGCTTGAATAAAAGAAAGTGGATAGAATAAAGTTGAGGAGAAACTGCAGTTGAAGATGCAAATAATATTTTTAAAATAATTATCAATTTAGCAGAGTTTTTGCTTAAGTACAATAACAGAAATTTTTCTCACAAGAAATATGATGAGATATGGATATAAAATTCAGATTTTAATCATTCAGTTACATAATGCATTTGACGAGAACATGTCATCAGACGTCTTGTTTTTTCCTAATGAAGTTACAATTATACACATTCATCTTATCTTTCATTCAGATTTGAAGTAAATCATTAATGGAGCCTGTTTTCAAGTTAATTGTCTTTGTTAACTGTTAATTTTAATGATTGATTTTCTACTCTCAAGACAGCCATTCTGTCCTTAAACCAGCAATATAATGTTAGAAAATCACACAAACAGAATTATTTGCTTTTTATTCCTTATTTTGTTAATTAGCACATTACACTTGGTATATATACTTTTAATATACATATTTTAATCAGTTTATACACATTTTATGTTAGAGAAAAAGTTTATTAAACATTACAAAACATACAAATTAAAATATCAAAATACAATCACAGGTCCATTATACTAAAATATATACAAATATGAGTTTTTTACTTACATGTTCTATTCACATAGTGAAGTAATATTTTGTCATATTTACAGAATAAAATATTTACACAAGTATGCATAATAAGGTTTGTTATTATACATCAAAGTCATATGAATAAAAAAATGCATATATATAAAATAATTATCACATGCTAATAATGTCAAGTATAAAATGCAAGCATTATTATTTACTTTATCACAGAAATATTATATGAAGTATTAAATGTCAGCTCATCTGGCAACAGACATAAGACAAAGGCACAAATAAACCATATCTTTCTGGAACTGAAAAATATGTTTTTTCTCCAATACTTCCATTGCTATCTCCCACTATGAAAGAATTTACAGAAATATAATCAATAATACACATACAAAGAACTTTACAATACATTATAATTCAGGGAAAACATAAATATAAGAATGCTTTAATCAAGTAAACATTTAAACCTAATGTTATAATATGAGGTGAAATTAAAAGGAAGAGGGTAAAAAAGGTATTGAGACTAAATGCATTAAAAAGAGAAGCATTTGCTTGATTTAAATTTGGCTACATTCTTTTCAAAGTAATCAACTTATACCACACTAAACCAGTTCTAGAGATTCTGCCATTTAAGACTGCCTTTAAGCATATCTAGAATAGGCCTATTTCATTTGGCCATTTGCAAATCATACCAAAGTCTCTTCCAAGATATTAATTCAATTTGAGGAAACTATAAAAAGGGTAAGGAGCAATAATTGTGTTCATATGCCCTAAACTCATATGTTTAGAATACTGTGTATTATTATATATATGTTTAGAATGCTGTGCATTATTATGATAAAATATCTTACTGTCATCTCATCACAGGTCAGCTATTAGTGCTGAATAATCTCTCCCATACGCCTTGAAATACTATGATAAAATTCTGCATTAATAACATAATCCTATGTAACCAGATAATGTTGTCACACAAGCAAGATAAGCACACTTTCAATCAAACCCTTGACGTGCATTGCTTTTACCAGTGTTGGAAGAGAGTGAGCTTTTTGAACAAGGTCATAGTTGTTTGATCTCTGGCTCATAGTCATATTCCTATTCTTATCACCAGTTATAATTTATGATTTTAAGATTAGGTCATTTTAGACATACTGATAGAGATATTGGCATATTGGACATTTATACATGCTTGGCAGTGATACAATGCATTTTTAAATTAGATCTAAGAATAACTTGCACTGTTCCAAAGACATACTGATGGTGCTAGCAGTTTCTTTAGTGGTGATTCAACAATCTTAATGCACAAGGTAACAAACTGCTTGACATTTTCCACAGCTGGGGTCATACAGGGTAGCTTTGACCTGTTATTGCCCTCTCATCAGATTTTACTACCACTGAGAAAAAATGATAATCAAACACATCTTAGTCAACATACTGCCTCATTCTTGTTGAAGCATTTCAAGCATTCCTGTTGCTGATTTTCTGAATTTCATACAAAATTAAATATTCAGTCTCTACTACAATTTAATATCTGTGTTAAAACTTCAAAAGTGATAGTACTTTTGTATACTAACCACCCTAAAAAACTAACATAAATATAAGTATATACACTGCTCGACGTTGAAAATGCAACACCAAGAAGGAGTGGTTAGAAAGTGATGAAATTTGGAAAAAAGAGAGAGACAGCAAGCAGCAATAAGTGATCTTTATTTAAAAATGATAGTCAGAATACAGAGCGAGAACGGTGTCGGCTCAGTCAGATGTAGGACCACCACGGACAGCGATGTACGAAGAAACATGTCTAGGCATAGAGTCAATAAGAGTGCGGATGGTGCCCTGAGGGATGGCTCTCCATTCCCTTTCAACCATTTGCCACAGTTCGTCTTCTGAACGAGGCAGGGGCAGAGTCTGCAAACGCCGTCCAATCACATCCCACAGATGTTCGATTGGTGACAGGTCAGGAGAGTACGATGGCCAGGGAAGCATCTCTATAACTTGCAGAGCATGTTGGCAGATGCGAACACTGTGTCGTTGGGCGTTATCCTGCTGAAAAATTATATTAGGCAGCCCCTGGAGGTAGTGAATTCCACCGGCCACAGTACATTATCCAAGTATCGATGGGCCGTCATAGTGCCCTGAATACGAACGAGAGGTGACCTGGAATCGTAGGCAATAGCGCTCCAAACCATTATGCCACGTTGTCACGTGGTGGGGCATTCCACAGTTACTGCCGGATTAGATCTGTCTCCACGTCGACGCTACACACGTATGCGGTGACTGTCACTGGATAAACAGAAGCAGCCGTGAGTGCAAGCCACGTTCAACCAATCAACAGGAAATGGTTTTGGTTGACACAGGAACATCCAAGGTATCTTGCAGATGCTGCAGAATTGCGGTACAGGTGACTTGCGGGACTCTGACGTCACTCTGGCTGCACCTGCACCCCTCCTTCTTCCCACATTTCCTTGTTCCAACCATGTTCGCCACAGCCGATGCACCGGGCTTACATCCATGTGGGTATCAGCTGAGATTTGACGTAAGGACCAACTTGCCCTTCTCAGTCCGATCACCATACCCCTCGTAAAATCATCTATCTGCTAGATGTGCCTTCGTTGATGATGGCCTGGCATTCTCTTCTATTACAAGTATCCTCCGGGACAAAAACCAACTTTCTTCGATAATTTGTCTGGCAGAAATAACGACACGAATATTGCACATTCTGCACATTCCTTCCTTTATATCTTACTTCACGTGCGTCAGAGAGCCGCACATTTCACATCATTTGCATAACTCAGTTACGTGCGTCTACTCTAAAATTTGCATAAATTTCTGACCACATCTTCTTGGTGTTGCATTTTCAATGTCGAGCACTGTATATCACAATGTCAGTTGACATGTTAATCCTAAAGTGTCGCTCCTTGCCATAATGTGCATGCATGATTTTATTTTACATGCATTGTTTGAATCTAATAGAGTCTTGGAACTTTATGACTGCACCTTGTACATTAAAAAAAAATCAAAAAATCATAGGAGTTTTGCTTAAAAATGGAAGTAAACAGATGTTATGCATAAAGATAGTCTCATTACTTTAAACAGCCTAGAAATATTTCATTATTTCCAATAATACAAACTGATTTGTTATATTAGATTTGAAGAATGAAGATAGTGCATTTATTATTCTAGAATTATTACAAATAATAACTTTTATCAAGAAGCTATATTAAATGTAGAAAATAGTTACATAGATCTCAATATTACATTTAAGCATTTCTATATTTTTAAATCAGATTCCAAATTTTGCATCTTTGGAATCTTATCTGAATGAAACGATCTGGGAACATTGTCTTAATAACCAAAGATCTCCATGGTAACTGAATAAATAAAGTTTAAAATGATTTCAAGTGATATAGTAAATTTTTATTTTACAATAAACTTAAAATGGTTCAAAAGAAAAATTTTCTTTATCATACCCATTGTACATGCATGTTGATAAACTAGCATATAAAATTAACCCAGTGGTCTCCAAAATGGGGTACACAATATGATACTTGGAGGCAGTGGTGGCTCGTGGATTATTTAAATGGAGGTTCACAAAACAAATTTCGAAAAATACATTCGCATTTTCACAAGTTAAAGAAACACAATGCAAATAAAGAGAAAAGTTCTCGTATGTAAAAAAAAAAAATTATAACATTTTATTTCTTACAGTGGAATGACACAAAATCATAATATTGATTACAATATATCTTTGAGTGTTGATTACAAAATAGACAGGTATAATTTTTGTAAATAAATCTACTCATCTACCTATTTTTTTCTTTGAAATCAATAATGTTTTCATTGAATTTAGATATGTCATTTATCATGTTTTTTTTTTTTTTTTTTTTTTTTTTTTTTTTTTTTTTTTTTTTCAGTTGGGAACATGGTTACAAAGCTTAGTCTGTCTCATAGTGCTTCTTAAAAATGTGTTAACTTGTTTTAAAGTTGAGAAGCATCTCTCAGCTTCAGCAGTGGTCATTAGAATAGTAACAATAATTAGCAACAGTTTGTAGGTCTTCAAAAATATAGTCTGTTAGCTGTTTTTTTTTTAATAAACTGTAGAAGACTAATGGCACCAGTCATATTTCTGAAATGTGATCTTCTGTAAATTATTCCTAGTTCAATTTTCAAACGATCCTTCTGTAACAAGGAACAAACATCAGGTGTATTGTCAAGAATTTTTTTCTTGTACTCCTGAAATTTGGGAGCTTAAAATAGAGAAACAGCACAGTAGTGAGAAATAAAAATCTCTCCTTTACTTAATTTGTGATAATCATACATATATCTTTATATCTTTAGCTGCTACAGTTCTATTTATAACAATATTTTTTCTCTTCCCTTTTCTTGAAATTTCATATGATTCCAATATGTCCTCTGTCACTGTGTCTATTCTTTTCCTTTTTTTTTTTTTTTTTTTTTTTTTTTTTTTTTTTTTTTTTTTTTCTTAACGACTGCTAGAAGACGTTTACTTGCTTTTATAATGATTGCTGCATCAATTAGTGTTTTCTGAAACTGGTTGTATAACACATCGACATGTGGCATACTATTGTGAAATACTGTAAGCCAAAACACAAATTCCGAGTCTTCTAACATATAGCCCCTGCTTGATTTATTGCTACAGCTTGTTTATGTGTTGCCATTTTTTCCATGCATTTAACCAACTGTTCCCTAACACTGGATCAATGGTTCAACTCTCAAAATTCCATTTAACAGCTAAACTTTTTCTAACAGTTTCATCTAGAATAGCAACTCTCTGTAAAGAGTTATTGAAAAAGTTAGTAAGATCACTCAGGCTGCAGAAAAATTACTCGAGCTTGCTAATTCTGGTTGTTTGCTTGCCCCCCCCCAAAAAAAATCAAAGTGAGCTGATGTGTGTAGATTCTGCATTTCCTTGTAGGAACGTTGAACAGAAGCGTGAACTCCAGCATGATGATCCCTCAGCAGGCTTGCACTATCTTACCTTCTTCTTCTTCAATGGCTTGGCAGCCCTGGATGGGCCCTAGCTTTCTCCAGAAGTCTTCTCCAGGCATCTCTACTTTTGGCAATTGTTTTCCAGTTTTTAACCTTTAAAATATTAAGATCTTTTCTAACACAATTAATCCATCTTAGCAGGGGTCTGCTCCGAGGTCTATTTACCATCTTACTTTTACGATATTAATTTTTTGGATTTATCAAATACTTTTTCTAAACTTGCTTGGATATTTAGCTACGTGAATAACATATCAGTAGTTTCATCTGCCATTCCTGAAACAAAATTTGTTTTTCAGATCATTTTTTATGTGGTTCGGACAAACAGTGAGCATGCATCATAAATCATTTTGGATTTCTTTTGCTGTTCCTTTAAAAAACAGTGGCACTAGTGAAATGATCTTTAAGAGATGAATTGAGTTCTGCTGAGAAGTTGATAAGACATCAAAAACTCAATGATTTAATTAATATCCGTGTCCATCATGTCCTCGAAGTGCATGCTCAAATAAATGCATCACAAAACAGAATGCAATCAATGTTTTTTTTAGAACATGACAATTTTGGGGAACCTTCTCATTGTGTCTTTAAGCATTTGAACGAAATACACTGACAAGTTGATAGTGAATATCCACCTTTGCTAGCAAATTAAATTCTAAGATGGATGTGATTGTGAGTACTCGTGCTTTTCTATTTTCTCAGCGAGATACAATAAATCAGCAACATCATGACTCACTTAACTTAAATCAAATTTTAATATATTTTGTAAAAATAATATTATGTTAATATATATTTATATATGTTATCTTGAATATATTTTGTAAAAAGGAGACAGGGGAAAAAACAATCTGTTAGTTAATTTGCACCCTCAAATCCACGAAGATTTTTTTATATAAATCTTTTCAGGTTTAAAATTCGTTTTTAAATTTTTACACATTCGTTACATTTTGTCACCTGAATAATGTTTAGCAAAGATGTTGGCTGAATAATTTCATTTCAGTTTTTCTTTCGACAGGCAATGTTCAAAACACTTATTTTACTACGTGCCATCTTAACTGTTTACACTAGTTCATAAAAGATATATATCGACAAATGATAACAATTAAAAAGCATGAGAAGAAAACCGAAAAACAAATTTAACTAATTGAATACAGCAAACCAAGGGAGAATTTAGATGAGATGACTGCAAACAATCTGAGCTCCTGCATGCTGAAAATGTACGAATGGAATGGTATCCAGCAGTGCCTTTTACCTCCCACTCCTCTATCTACTTCTGCCCCATAAACTGGTTTTCAAGGGCATTTCTTCAGCAACTGAGGAAAAAGTAAGCACTCTATGCTATAGTAACCTACAATACAGTATGCTGGATATGTATTACCACATTTAAAAAGGGAGTTGGGAAGTCTCATCCTCTAAAAATCTAGAACTGTATTTAATATTTTCTATTTAATTTGTTAATAAGCTTATTTCTTCATTTTTCTTTGGGAGTTCACATGCTCATGTGTACAAATAAAGGAGCTGCCACTGCTTGCAGGTATACCAAAGATGTAGGTTCACAATCACTTCTTAGTGTATCTGTTTATCACACGAGGTTCTTTTATTGCTTGCTGTGTCTGGTTTCACTAGAATTTGGGAAGCTGAACATCATAAATGTACCAGCCTGCACATGCACACAAACACTTAAGGAAACAAAGAACTCTGCCTTTGCAACGAAGATATATCTGAAAGTTCAAGAAGAGCTAGATCTTTGAATTGCAGAGGATTCAGATTTTTTCAGCATTATTAAACAAATACAATTACATTAATCACATTAAATTCCAATACAAAATGTAAATTTGAAATTTAATTAAAATGTGTGCATATTGTTTAAAATGAATAAATAAATAAATACATAAAAAACTTGAATTTTTATGTATTTATTTTTTATGTATTTTACATTTGATTTGACATGTATGTATTTTTTACGTATTTTAAATTTGATACATAAAAAATTTGACCACACACATATATATATTATATTACATGAGGTACAACTTTAATTATTTTTGTCTTAGGGGTACACAATCAAAAATTTTGGAGATCCTGAATTCTTGATTTAATTAAAATTTTATTTTCTGAAAGATAAGTTTTCTTTGATACTTACCAGCCTCATCTAAGTACAAGCCAACAAATACTTCAGAAAATCCTTCAGAATCGATATGACCAACATATTGAACTGTTCCACATAATTCACCATGAATCACAACCTTATCTCCTTTCTTTAAAGGTGTTTTAAACATTCTGGAACCTCCAGGTGCTTGAGAACAATTCATACATAGACAGCCTTTTAAGATTAGAGAAGTTGTCTTTTGGTCATTCTGAAAAGAAAGCATATCAAAGAAACAAATAATATGAAAATGACACTTTACAAATAACTAAATATTACCCTATCTGATCAAAAGTATTATACAGTCAAAAGTCGTTAATCCGGACTCGTCGGGACTTCGGCGATTCCGGATTATCGATTTTTCCGGATTATAGATCATCAGTTTAAATCTGGTAAAATGGCATGCAGAAATTATAAAATTAAAAATATGAAACCGTAATTTACGAAATAAAGAACAATTATGATCTAAAGGGTATCAAAATTTACAAAAAAAGAAAAGCTTAATATTTATTTGTTTACTTTATTAAACATTTCTTTCAATGTAAGTTGTTTAAGTTGCTTTGTTTTTTTATGTGATAATACATTCTCTTTAATTCCATAAACAGACATAATTTCTTGTTCAGTTACAAAGTTCCGCTGTTCAAGTCCTAAAATTGCTGTGTCGAGAATACCGACACTAATTGTCAATCGAATTTTTTTTTCGTTTTCAATACCTCTGTCACTTTCTTCGCTATCGGAAGCGAATTATAATGACGAGGCATTGATTTAAATCATATCAAAGACGAGATGAAATACTACATTGAGTAAGCAATTATAAGCCAAATAAAATAAAAACATCTGCCCTTAAGATAAGGATAGTGCTGACAGATCAACTTCCAATTCATGCACGCCGCCGCGGCCGTTAAAGATAAACAAAGTTTAGATAAACTTTATCCATTTTTTTTGCAGCAATTCCACTTTTTGTTTATGGACTCCGAAAGATAACTTTCGCTTTGTATATCCTTTACATATTAGTAATATATATCGGAAATTCTATTTGACATAATCGAAAGTTCAAGCTTACTTTTATAAAATTGCTCTAACAGTCTGCAAAAAATAATAATCCGGATCCAATTCGAAGATTAAGGAACAACGCAATCTGCAACATTAACTGAAATAGATAATTAGATAATTTTAGCTTAGCTTATCCCGTCCGTTATACATTAAACGCGCATTCGTAAGCGTATTTTGCGCACGCGCACACACAAATTAGCAGCGGTAAAGGTCTTACGCGCATGCGTCAACGCGACGCATGCGCAGAAAGTTTGTAGCTTTGAGGTCCGGATTATAGATTATTCCGGATTATGGGTTTCCGAATTAACGACTTTTGACTGTATATTAGATTTATATATATCATTGTTCTAACATAGGTATTTTGACACAAAATTGGACTTTTTCTGAAATAACATACTAATTTTTTTCCATATTTCCATTCTATGACTAATATTATGCCTAGATATCACATTGTAAAATTTGGTGCAAAATTTACGGAGAAATTCAAAACTTTATCTTGACAGAATTTTATCCATTTGCGCCATGTAATCCATTAAACGAACTTCTTCATATATGGCAACCAAATTTCCTTTCCCTTCCATTATAAGTTGCAGAGCGGAAAAAAAGGCACCCCGTTTCTGCCTTTTTACATTGTGCATGAGCAGAAAAAAAGCCACATCGTTCCTTCTTTCAAATAATTTTAGCAAAGTGTCTAAACCACATTTGATGTTTTATCGCTTTTAACAAATATGCCAAATTTCGAAATGCGGCAGTATATAAATTCATGTATATATCTGGAAATTGTGAATACTGTAATTTTTTGCAGGTATGCTTAGAAATACGTCTACTTTAAGATTATGGTAAAAAAGATATAGATTATAATTCAAAAGCTTTTTGAAAAATTTATAAAAATTATTTTAAAATAAATCATAAAAAATGGGCGAATTTTATTTGGAATGAACTTAAATTTTGAAATGTGAAAGGAAGAATTAAATAATTTTAATAAAAAAACAGAGATTAATAAATATATAGCAAATTCAATTACAACTAACTACATTGTGGAGCTAAAATTGTCAGAGCCAATTTTTTTAAAAACTACCCATGCGATTTTTACAAAACTTGATAGTTTGGCGTAATTTGAGTCGTAGACTTGTAATATAGAAAAAAAATTGGTATGTTGTTTCAGAAAAAGTCTGATTTTGTGACAAAATACCGATTTTAGAACAATGCTATAGATACACCTAATACATATCCTAAGTCGCACTTTCGAGACATGAAAAACGCAATTTGAATTTCGTCAATCGGGCCAGTAGAATGGGAGATATAGAACTGTCTCCCCCCCTTTTTTTGGCGCAGTGTACCTTTTTTCCCTGAGAAAAACGAATTACATAAATTTAGAAACAACAGACATGGGTGTTTTTGTCATTATAAATCAAGAAAACTTACTTTGATAGAATACTTGATTTTGTTGATATCATATGAAGATGCATTTTCAGAAATAATAATATCTTCGACAGAAGATGGAGTGCTGATCTTGGAGGAAGATTCAACCAGTCTGTTTTCAATGGAAATATCTGACTGCTCTGCTAACAGTTTACTTCTTAATAGTGTTAACTGTTGATATAAGGACTCATTTTCTTGCTTCAATCTAGAAAAATAATAAATATTAGCTTACATAGATATTTAACAATCAGGGTCGGTGCTAGAGCATGTGCAACTAGTGCGACTGTACCAGATAGAAAAAAGTCTAGCGCCGGCCCTGTTAACAATTATACATATTGAACTCTGCCCATATGACTGACATATATAGAATGGTATGTTATAAGAAAAGTAAGATAGTTCCAAGTTAAAACAGAGAGGACATATTTTCTTTTAAATGGAGGTTAAGCATCTTAAAATGTTTCACAATATTAGGTTTTATATAAGACAAGTATGATTTTAAAGAGTAATTTACAGGAAAATAAAACATATGCCATCTACAGCTAATAAGATAATAACGGGTGTCTCAAAAAGAACGCCAGATTTGAATCTACTATAAATTGATTTTATTTATTTGAAAGAAGCAAACAAAACACACCATTCTCTTCAGGAGATGAAGAGATTATATGTGAAACACAATATCGAGCATATGACCCGGCCTGCTAGCCCTACAAGCAATCTTTCTATACATGAAATTAACTATCACTCACTCACACTTTTCCCCATCAACTTCGCTGAGAACTCATTGAATTTCTTGTTTGAGTTCCAACAGATTATGGGGTATGATTTTGTAAACTCGTGACTTAATATTACCATCATAGGAAAAACAAGATTGAGGCGGATAGGTTTGGTCTCCTCGTAAGGAGTTTAGTCTGTTTGGGAACTTCTCACAAAGCAGAGCGATTGTGTCTCCTGAAGTGTGGCAAGTTGCACCATCTTGTTGCAACCAGAAATTTTCGATGTTCATTTGATCCAACCGGGGCCAAAGGAAATTAGTGAGCATCGCACAATAACAAACTCCATTCACCGTGACAGCCCTTCTTGGTCATCTTCAAAAAAATTAGGACCGATTAAACCCCCACTCCAATTGGCACCCAAACAATAACTCGCTGAGGATGCATGTCTTTTTTCGCGCGAATTACTCTTGGATCTCTTAGCGCCATTATTCTGCAGTTTGTTATTCACAAAGCCATGAAAAAATGAAAACATGAAACCATGCATCTCTCGTTCTTTTTTCCAGAACCTTGCACAACTGCGATCTTCATTTTCTCAGTTTATGTTTGGTTCTGTGTTCCATGAACGAACGATGTCCGTTACGATTTCTTAACGATTCTACGCAGTGTTGATGGACAAATTTTTTTTCTTGAGCATGATTGCGACACGATCTTCCGGAACCCTCATAGTGACAAAACAAGCACAGCAATCAAGCAACCTCAATTGCCTCCCTCTGGCCACTTCAAGTGGCTCGGATTTTTGTCTACGGGAAACTGTTTTTTTTTTTTTTTTCTTTTTTTTTTTTGGTTTTTTTTTTTTTTAATTCAGAAACCTAATGAACCAGTGGATTCATTTGGTGCATGTTGTGTCTCATAATGTATGGATTTACGAACGGTTTCCCGTAGAAACTTTCACCATTTTGTAGTGTAGTTTCACAATCAACACTCACTGTTCCATACTGTAATTCTTTCCATGACTATACACCACAACATTACCAAGAAAACAAAAGCACAGTATCAAAACAAACTCAATGAGCAGTGATAACAAATGCAAAAGCATGTTGCCAACAATAAAATAAAAAGACAGCTTTTCAATCTGGCGTTCTCAAGTTACCCTTCACAAAACGTATAAATGAGAAAGACGTGAGTTTCTTTTACATGTGAAACATACAATATTGGCTGAAATTTGATACAACGACCTATTGCTGATATTACACAATTGATTATACAGTACAAAGTTCATATCTGGATGGACCCTCAAGCACAAATTAACGCCTACGCATAGAGAATGCGCAACTTATACATCGCGTGTATGCTTAAACACGCGCGCATTGAAAGAAAGTTAATAAGTAAACAAATAAATTAAGCTTTTTTTTTTTTTTTTTTTTTTTTTTTTGTAAAATTGATACCCTGTAGATCATAATGCTTTTAGTCATAAGTTACGAATCATATTTTTAATTGTTTAATTCTGAGCCATCTTACCAGACCTAAATTGATGATCTATAATCCGGAAAACCCCTAATCCCGAATAGCCATTCCCGACGGAGCCGGATTCAGACTTGTGACTGTACTACTTTCATTTGTACACTTCAAACAATTTTAAAATTTTATTTTAAATGAAATTTAATTATAAGAATATTTAAACACACATTTTTTGTAATCAATATTTTTAATGATATATAGAATTATATTTTTAAATCATTAGAATGAATTTCTGCACCACAGCTATGTAAAAAAGTATGCCTTTATTGAATTACCATCTTGAATAGTATGCCTTCTCTTTTTTTTCAAAAATTTTAAAGGATAATTTTTACATATATATATATCTATATATATATCAGGGAAAAAATCTTCATTGTCATTCTGACATGTCTTTTGAATGATCTTAGGCAAAGTTGAATGAGCTACTCAGTTCTTAAAATGTTTTTTCTTGCTTTTTTATTACAATTTCTGGGGTGTCAATGCAGCAGAATCATTTTAAAGAAGCTGAATTTTTTTTCATGTCTTCCTCATGCTGCTACTTAGTGTTATCTGGTATAATGTTTTCAATCTTCAACTGATACTAAGTCTGACGCATTCAACGCATACAGTTTGTACTCCTCGACGGCATGTCTAACCCCCAGCAGTTCCAATCGTCTTCATCCATAATCCTTGTTTTGTCATCATTTCTCGTCAAACGTCACTGGGTTCAAGAATCCCGTGGCAGTGAAACTTATGCATAGCCTCAAGAATATTAATTTTTTTGTTTATTTCCAGTAGTTACATTTTGAAGGGCTATTTGAATCAACCTTTGCCTGTAGAACATTTTCAAATTCTTAATGACACCGAAGGTGTGCAAACTAGTGCAATTTGCCAGGAAGTAAACAATTTTCACATTTTGCAGAAATCTGTCATTTGAGGATGGATGGTACACTGGTCTATAAACTGTTCTCCTCATTGTTTTGTCTATTTTCTTGAGCTATTCTGTCAAAATGTCTGTAGTCATCCATGCTTTCTTATTTGCTTTATATTCTAATGGCCCAGTTATATAATTTTTGAAGCACCTTGGTTTTTGCTACTTTCCTATAAAGCAGTCATCATTTCCATACCATCAGCATTTGCACAAAGTACGGCAGGGAGACGTTCTTTAGTTTGCTTAGCTCTATGACACTAGTCATCTTTCACAGCTGGGGTTCTTATAGGCATAACTTTACAGAAAGAGCTGTTTCATCAACATTAAAAATGTCTTGCAATTCATATAAATCAATACTGGTTTGAACCATTCTTCAACCGACTCGACAGGAATGCTTTTTATTCTCCATTTATTATATGACTTAAAATTCCATGCCACAATTTTAATCCGACATCCACTAGAATATTGGATGCTCAATATTGAATGAAAAATTTTAGAAAAATGGCCTTGACTTCAGAAAACTTTCCATCTTGAATATGATATTTCTTTGAAATGGGCTGTCCACCAATTCTTCCTTCATGAAAATGATTCTTTTTAGTATCAGCAGTGTAATCTGATGGCAAATGACATAAGAATTTCAACCATACTGCTGATCTGACACAACTCAAGACTATATCTCTTTCATATCATGCATTGGCTTCAAATATCATATCATGCATTGGCTTCAAATTTGCTAGCTCTGAAGGGTTTTTTTTTTTTTTTTTTTTTTTTTTTTTTTTTTTTTTTTTTTTTACAAGCTTAGTGAGAGTTCCTATGCATAAATTGTGCCTATTCTTAAAACAACTACATTATCTTATGGAGGCAACAAAATCCACTGGCTTTGAGTGAATTGGGGTTCTTTTAGCATGTTCAGCACCCTGATTCAAATAGCTGTATGGGTTACAATATATCCGTTCAATCGTGATACTTGAATCCATGCATTGAGTTTTTCCTTCAGGGCATGAAACAGGCTGACAAGCATATGATGCCTTTTTTTTATTTTGACTTTCAAAATGCTTTTTTTCCCTCCCTTCTCATTTTTTCCCCCATTGATAGAGAAATGATGAGCAGCTATACTATGGCTAGAATTTTCAGCAAATGTTGTCACCCATAGTTTGAAATTCGCCATACAAGAACTTTTCTTCCCGCTCATCTTTTAGAGAAAAAAATAAAATAAAATGGCAAAGAAAATAACACTAGCACATACTACAAATTGTATGCATTCTGATGACAAATGAATGGGGAAAATGTGCTAGCTTCAGACTAGGTTACCAGCGTTAAAACTATCGTCACTGGCATCTGCCGTTTTATTTTACAGCTTTCAGACAGGAAAATATTCCACCTGTTTTGCCTGCAACATTTTTGCCCTCATGACATGTTTGAATTTTACAAGATTTTTTTAACATTTTAGATAAATTTTTGAAGAAAAAAATGAACTTGTAATTATATTCGAAAACAGGGTAAAATCTAAATATCTAGAAAATGTCAAATTCTGGAACCATGAAAATTATAAATAGTTGAGCATATAAAAAATGGAGTTCATGTTAGAAAAGCCAAATAAATTTGAAAAATTTCTGCTGTAAAATTATAAATCAATCATCTTATTTGTTACCAATTTATGGGACACTCTAATACACAGATAACAAAGTCCTCTCGAGAAGTAGTTAGGGAAAGAGAGATGACAGACCCTCAGACTAGCTCCCCACCCCCACCCTGAATGCTCTTCCTCAAAATTGAGACAGCACAGTTAGTATGGCAGGACTATACCTGTCCAAAACATAACTCATTTTTCCAAATGAGATGAAAAGTAAAACTTTATATCCTTATTTATAAAAATTAATGCAATTTATTGAAAATTAATTGAGTTTACATTAAGCCAAAATGAACTTTTTATGATTGTGTTGTGATGTCATACTGATCCATTACTGGCGCTAAATCATACTGATGACAAAGTATATGTGTTAATAGTTATTACGAGCTCTATAATGGTGTTATGAGTATCTCATTTACTAAATTTTTCAAGGG